TCGACGAATAGTTAGCGAGATATCGTAAGATAAATGTTGGAAAAGTTACCAAGTTTTCCTTAAATATCTCAAAAAATATTAAGCAAATAAAAAATGTTTCAGACAAAAGTTGTTCAAATTAATTGGTAGAAAAAGAAGATATAATAAAAAGTTGGGATTTTCATTTATAAAAATTGATGTCAGTGAATATCTTGAAAGTGGCACCATCTATTAACAAAATTCTATCGCTGTCTTATGTCCCCCTTCAAGTCAAACAACTTTTGTCTGAAACATTTTTTTATTTAACGCAGTGTTTCTAAAGCGTGGTCTACAATGGCCGTAAGCAATAAGAAGAAAGCGTGAACAGTAAGAAATGGACCAACCACAGTGGATTATTTTTGTCATAATCGACTGTGATTGGTTTATTTCTTACCGCTTACGCTTACTTCTTACTGCTTACTGCCATTGTAGACCACGCTTGAGATATTTTTGCGAGATTTATGCCTAGGACATTAAGTATTTTTGCAATATTGCTGTGATATTTATGCAATATTTCAGTAATATTCCTGCAATATTGCAGCAACATTTAAGAAATATTGTAGCAACATTCCTGCACGATTGCAGTAATATTTCGGCAATATTTTGCAATTTTTCTGCAGTATTGTGGCTATATTTCATAGGTATTCCTGCAAGATTGTGGCGATATTTCAACAACATTGTGGCAATAGTCCTGTGATATTGTGACAATATTCCTACAACATCATAACAATATTCCCGCAATATTTCTGCAAGACTTATGCCTAGGACATTAATTATTTCTGCAATATTGTTGTCACATTTATGCAATATTTTAGTAATATTCTTGCAACATTTCTGTAATATTCCTGCAATATTGCGGTGCTATGTGGGAAGTGACAGGCCCAGAAATGACGAGTCATCAAATATTAATTAACGAAATATGAATGATAAAGTTTTAATCTAGATCCAAAATAATTAAGATCCTCATAAATTGTAACAACGTGCGCCTTCGCGTTATCGAGAAATTGAAACCGATAGATCAAGATCGACTGATCCGAAATTGACGAGTCACCGGGTATAAGCTGCAAAATTATTTGCGATAAGATATTAATCTAGGTTCAAAATAAGGTTGACCCGAGCCAACCGTATCGAAATGCGATTACATGTTTCGAAGTTACAGGCCATGAAAGATAGAAAAGTGATAGGCTCGGAAATGACCTGTCACAAAATATTAATTATCGAAATATGGGTGATAAGGTTTTAATCTAGATCCAAAATAACTACGATCCTCGTAAACCGCATCGAGCTGTGATTACGCGTTTCGGAGTTAGAAGCTACGAAATATTGAAAAGTGACAGGTTCGGAAATAACAAGTTACGAAATATTAATTAACGAAATAAGAGTGATAAGGTTTTAATCTAAGTCTAAAATAACTAAGATCCTCACAAATTGCAACAACGTGCGCCTGCGCGTATGGAGAATTTGAAGCCGATATGTCTAGATTGCGAAAATCGATGCGAAAATGATGGGTTACCAAGTATAAATTAACAAATCGTGTACAATAAGAAGCTAATCTAAATTGGAAATAACGATGATCCGTAGATACCAAATCAGTTCAACGTTACAGAATTATGAAGTCCGAAATGTTGAAATTAATGTAGAGAAAAATGGTAGATCAATATATATGTCATGGAAATATTTATGCTAATCGAAAGAAATGATACTATTTAATTTAATTTTAAGGCAGTATGACTAATTTTCCTAAAATCCAGATTAATATAGCTTTTCGGATAGCGTAGAGAGTAAGTAAAAATTTGAAGAAGTAAATACCCAGGTAGCAGACTGACGTCAAATGACGTACTAATGACGTCTTAATGACGTTAGCTAACGTCATTAAGACGTCATTAGTACGTCATTTGACGTCAGTCTGCTACCAGAGTATGGTTCGCTATGACACGTCGTCTGGGTAAGTGCGCGGCGGCGTGAGTTCCAGGAATCGACGAGGCATTTTACACGGGCAGTGAGTTCTAAGAATCGTAGAGACCAGCGAGCGGACTCGTTGAAAAACTGATGCTTTCATGATCGATGGGTTCAACGTAATATTTCGTTTGCTCATTCAGAATGGGTTAATAAAATGCGATTAAGATGTAAAATGTGATGAATTATTAAGAATGCAAATATCAATAAACATTAAATGTATTGTTTCAAAATATTTAGATGATATTTTTATGTTCCGTCTCACAACCATGATTAGCCTCATCAATTTTTTCATTGGATAATTTTTTCATCGCAAGATAAAAAATGCAATATCGCGAGACAAGCAACTCTGAATTGTTATAGCGTGATGTACATATAATAAACTTACCCCTCGATGGTTCCTGATGTCCCTCCTTGCAAAATATATCCTCGGGTACTTATTTTTCACAACACAAACACTAAATTTAACTTTGCGCAATAACAAGCCATTTTTTTCACAACACTTGATCACAACACAAATCTTAAGCAACAAAAGCGCATAATTTCACTCAGCACTCCCGATAATTTGGTTTCGTTAATTACTTACTTTCGACTACTTGACGATACTTCGCCATGACAAATGCATGAAATTTGCTTTCGGTACTCTCGACGAAACAATACACGCCGATATTCGCCTTTGGTAATTCAAGATCGCGGAAAATACGCACGGTCGGTTTATGGAGTTCACGTACTAAGCGTTGAAATGCAACAGTCGCGATTTTGACAATGTGTGCGTATGTCGGTGAATACGTATCACTAGCGTACTAGCCAATCAAAATATTCTATTCAAAACCGCCCGTTCCGTTCGAAATATTCCAAGAAGTCGGCCATGACAGAAAAAATTCTAGAAACTTTACTCGACCCTCCCGACGAACAATGCACACTTTCAGTGAATATTTAACGAAAGCTGTGCCACACTTCGATGTTTAACGATAATTCGCGGCCGAGACTCGGCTGACTAGTCGAATACGAAGCTCCGCGACGCGAAAACTGAGCTGCTCTTACGCAGCTGGCGCGCTGAACTTTCCTCGGCATTCCAACGATTCATCTCATTTCACTTCGCGCGGCGGAACGAACGTCATTCCGCCATAACACACGCACGAAACTTACTTTCGGCACTCCCGGTAACGATTTAAGGCACGAGACTCAGCTACGGCGAGTCAAAATTATGAGAAATTACAGGCGACGTTTTCTCGCACACTACACAACCCGTAACCGGCGCCATAACTAAATACGGAGGCAACTGCGAACAGCGCCACAAGCGGGATACCCGGGAAGCTGAGTCGACTAATCGCGGTGATTCATTTCTTTCCGTAGTGGAACTATTTATCTTCACAAAGTGTACAAGGTGCGGGTGGAAAGCAGTCGATGATAGATCGATTTAATTCGAAGCTACATGCAATGGCGTGTTCCAAAATTCACTACCAGCGCTGAAAAGTTATAGTTTGCGTGACACAAACTATATATTTTGTATATAATAAGACAGTGATGGTACAATCTGATGCAATAACCGGACCGCTTCATTGCGCCCTATTACACTCGACTGTACTGTAAATAAAATTATGTGCAGAGAGAAACCTGAGAGCGGCCACCGGGTCGATTACGTTGGGACGCTTTTCCCGTCGAATTCTATCGCGCCCCCGGAGAAAATGTGGAAGAAAATGAGAAATAAAATAAAACAGCATGCCGGATTTCGAAATCCTCTGCTTCACCACATCAAACTAGTTGCTTATCTCCACGACCATCCACGCATTCTTGACTTTGAAGATTTTAATATCTCTACTTGAATATAATATCTACTTGAATACAATATCTATGTATTAAACTGTTCACTTTTCTCCTGCAGACATTCAACAATCCATTATATAATTTAGCGCCATCCGTTGTATTGTTTTTGATTCGTAAAAATCTCAAACAAAGAAATATTTTCGAAATCAGATGAATATGTCAATTCCCTTGCGAGAAGATGAGTATCTCAAATTACTGATATCATTTAAATTATTAGCGTTAATAAAATTATTTAATATTAATAATAATTAAAATATAATAATTATTGCATATTAACATTTACAACGCATATGCATGTGTATGTTCATAACTGATTGTGAAAATTATAAAATTGAATATAAAAATTATAAAAATGGCCACTCCCATTATATATAGCGTCATTTTGTATCATTGCTAGAAGTTGTCCGCGCGGTTTCGAAATATTTCTTCCCGAATTGCAGATCGTTGCGTGAAAGATGAGAAGACGAAGGGGCAAGACGGGAGAGATTTTGGCTTAGCGATAAAATCTACCGCTGACTCGCATCGTGCCTCCTCTCAGTGTTGCGAGATCAAAAGGATTTCTCCACGCTACAGCGCATACCTGAAGTGACATAGAGCTACATAACATATATGTCAAAATTCACTGACGGTTTAAAGCGCATGACAGAGGATCCATGGAGGATCCTTTCTATTCTCCCTACAATTCCTTCATATTTTTTTTCAGACGAGGGATCTTACGCCCGTATTAGACTATAGATTGAAAATTATAAGTGGATCAACTTAAAGAACCAAGATTTAGATTATCTGATTTATCCGATTGCAATTTTCAATCCATAGTATCATACGGGCGTTAAAATACCTTTAATTAATACGGTACTGAGACTCCAACAGCGTTTGCTCAATGCGCATGCCCGGAAAATCTCACGATCTCGCAGCACTGGCCGCGCGCCAGCTTATCGGTGGTGCGGCAAAGACAGAGAGCGATTGATCGTCTATGCTTTTTTATCTTACTATCTTCCTTAAGGAAGTAGAAACAAGAACCATGCATGCTCTACCATTATCGTTAGGACGGGCGTAGTGTGCACACATTTTCTCAGGGGGCGCGCCTTGGCGTAACCGGCCCGGTGGCCACTCTCAGGTTTCTCTCTGCCGGGATTGAGAAAGAGAGAGAGAGTGAGAATGAGAAAAAGATAGAGAAAGAGAGAGAGAGAGAGAGAGAGAGAGAGAGAAAGAGAGAGTGAGTGAGTAGTGACAGTTGAATTGGACGAAGGTGATCGTGTCGGCGACGAGATTCCACTTAGCCGCAATTTTGTAACAGTTAGCCCGGATATAAAAGATTACAAACGTCTGTGCATCGCGCGGACTTTCGTCGAGCTCGCGTTGGGTCGATCCTCTGGTACGGTCGGAGCAGCCGAGAGAACGAGAAGAGGTGAGTGGTTTCATTTGGTTAGGGAGTGCCGGACAGCGACACCGGTGTTTACGAGTCGGGAATCTCCGTGGAGACTTGGAGCTCGCTTCTGTTTACATACTCGCGTTTCATTCACAGGACAATTCGCGTAAGGAGCGCTCATATCGCGTATGTCTGGAGAACGCGATCGTATTATTCTGACTAATACGCGCCTTCGGGCTAATTGCCTTTTCCGTCTACTACGCGCGACGTTTCTATAACATGATTTCTGCCTACGCGTGTAGGATGAGATCAGCGCCAGACAGACTCGGCGATCTGTTTCTCGTATTACAATTGTGTATTGTTACTGTGCTTCTGTAATTGTAATGAGTTTCATACACACATACACATATATATACACACACACATACATATATATACGTATACAACAGTCGCGTGTGTAGCCATAGTAGATTATTCTTCTCAATACATATATATCTCCTCATACATATAATTAGCATAATACGTGTTATCAGTGTATATTTACTGTTTTTAGATTTAAACATGGTAGTGCTTAGCAATTTCCTTACACCACAGGAAGGAATACGTCATGAAGAGCAGAATACTACAGTATATATCAATGATAGGGAAGTGGGAAAGGGTACTTTCTACATCACAGAGAGGTAACTAAGTTATTCTGTAGTCTATAGTCTCAAAGATTTCCCAACTAGACTAGTTTCATCATGTATTCTGATCATGTGTAATATTATTCGCAGCGTTCTTTCTTGGGTGAACAGTGACACACAACAGGGATTTTCGCTCGAATATCCTCATATTTCTTTACACGCTATTTCTAGAGATGAACAAGTCCATCCCAGACAATGTCTATATGTAATGGTCGATGGCAAAGTAGACCTCCCAGGTATATTTCTTAAACTCTGCATGCAATCTTTTTATATTCGTCGCAACAAATAACATTGTGTGCGTAAGAGCTTAATTGCACGGATATTTGTATGCATCTTACAGATATGCCATTGCTGTTATCGCCCGACAACAGCTCAGAGAATGAGGACGACGATGAAGACACTCCAATCACGGAAATGCGGTTCGCGCCGGATAATACGAATAATTTAGAATTAATGTTTCAAGCGATGAACGCGTGCCAAGCACTTCATCCTGATCCGCAAGACAGTTTTTCGGATGGTAAGTAACAGAGAAGAAAGTAACGAGTACTTCTAATTGACAAACCGCGATGATTAAATATTTTCGCAATCGAAGAGGATATTTATGAAGACGCTGCGGAAGATTACGGCGAATACAGCGAGGAAGTGGGTGCTGGCGACGCTCCTTATATTTTGCCAACAGGTACGTATTCGTTCAGGTTTAATCCTTTAAATCGCATACTAAAATTTCTTGAAAACTAAATGTAGTCATAGCTGACTTTCCCCTGACAATTGGCCTGTTCTTTTCAGCAGCGCTGCTGAACTAGTGCAATAAGCTAGAGTGAGATAACGATATTTTTCCTCACTCTAATTTATCGTGCAGTTCAACAGTGCAGCTAAAAAGAACAGACCAAATATCAGAAGTAAAAACCCGTAATGAATATATTTTCAAATAAGTTGGCCGTTGATACGGATAAAAAAAGGAACAACTCTTAAGTCACGATCGCATTCAAGTACTTGTATTGTCACACGGAACGATTACCTATTTATAGAGCAAATAGGGACCAGTCATAACGGATCGGAGGCGGAAGAAGCAATGGACGTCGAAGCAGGTCAGTTCGAAGACGCGGAGGAGGACCCGTAAAGTACGACCTTTCTGGTCTGGCTGATATTTAGTGTTAATTTACACGATTACCAATTTCATATATTTCGGTAGACGTATATGACATCGTTATTGCAAGACTTACGTATCAAACGTAAAAGCACCTCTAAACATTTATTTATATTCATTTTGTACATGATGATAATTTCTTAGATAAAAATAAATAATTGTACATCAATTATGGGTGAGTCTTCACTTTTCCTTTTCTGTTTATTTCATTTTTCTTTTCCACCCGCTGATGGAACATAGCCTGCGAATTTCGCTGTCGCTTCTCGCGAGAAGAGGAGAGTATTTAGTTTCCTTCGTGTCTCATTTTACCAAATTCGGGACGCAGAGTCGAACGAAAAACTGGTAAAATATGAACAAATCTAGTGCGTACAAATTGATCGTACATTGTTGTAATCGAATGACATCGGGCAATATAATCGATGATAAATTTGTCCGTGCAAAATTCTAGCAACAACACAATTAGGGACCAGTCATAACGGATCGAAGGCGGAAGAAGCAATGGACGTCGAAGCAGGTCAGTTCGAAGACGCGGAGGAGGACCCGTAAAGTATGACCTTTCTGGTCTGGCTGATATTTAGTGTCAATTTACACGATTACCAATTTCATATATTTCGGTAGACGTATATGACATCGTTATTGCAAGACTTATGTATCAAACGTAAAAGCACCTCTAAACATTTATCTATATTCATTTTGTACATGATGATAATTTCTTAGATAAAAATACATAATTGTGCATCAATTATGAGTGAGTCTTCCCTTTTTTCTCTTCCGTTTATTTTGTTTTTTTTCTTTCCGCCCCCGATGGAACACAGCCTGCGAATTTCGCTGTTGCTTCTTGCGAGAAGAGGAGAGGAGAGTATCTCGTTTCCTTCGTGTCTTATCTTACCAAATTCGTGATGCAGAGTCGAATGAAAAACTGGTAGAATATGAACATATCGAATGCGTATAAACCTGATAATATATTGTTGTAGTCGAATAACATCGGGCGATATGATCGACGATAAATCTGTCCATGCAAAATCCTAGTAACAACATCGGCCACGCACGAAGGTTATCGTAGCTATACGACTGGAGAATATACATATATGTTTGTCAACGCGACTAGTTACTACTACGAATTTAAAATGCATCTGATGCAGCAAACCCTCGCATGGGCTCAATTCGCGCGATCAACAAACTGGCAGTGCGTTATAACGAAAAAGTCCCTGCTCTTCCGACTCATTTTTTTTCACGCCTGCGCGTTTCGATCAGAGCGATATATTTCAATTGTAATATCCAAAACAGAGTTTTACTCACGAGTGAGTTGATCATGCTTAAATGCACTGAATCAACTTATTTGTACATATGATACACCCGTGTCGCCTAATAATGACGCATTTTGCATATCACGAAGTGACATTTGTCCGTCCTCAAGGGAATTCAATGACGTAGAAAAAAGCACAGAAACGAACGGTAAACCGGCGATTGTTCGATGTCTCGCCACTCGACACGCACACGTCGGGTTTGCTCAACGGAGTATAGATGATGATTTCTAGAAATATCAAAGGAATTTATCGAATTTTCTTCGGGCCGAAAATGAGATCAGCATCGGGAGCTCCCTTAGGATGATTGTACTTCTGCCGCCGTTCCCTGTTTAAGTTCACGGTGACCGGTCTTGTGCCCTGGTTGATAGTCTCCTGGTAGTCCTCCTCTTCTTGCCTCTCGGTGATGTTCAAAGTCAGTCTCTTCACGCGTTCCTTCTCCTCCTTCTGCTCCTGCTCGCGATTCCTGAGATTCATGGCCAGTTCGGACGACACTGGCACTGCTAGGTTCTTGTACTGTTGCTTGTTGCCCTTCCTCAACATTAGCACAAAGTCCACGGTAGTGTTGTCGGTCGGTCTCTCCTGCAACTGCTCGTACGTCTTCTTGGTGCTCTTCACATGCAGCGGCACCGAAATGTCGACCTGTTGTGGCTTCACCGAGTCCCTCATGCGGTCTTGTATGTTGTCCGACACCATCTTATCCAGTGCGGACAGAAAGTCGTCATCCTCCGGACAGCTGACCCGTCGTGGTCCAGCTGGCAAGGCTGCGTTCAATTCCGTCACATCCATAATCACACCCTCGGTGCCGCCTTCCGATAAGCTCTGGTCGCCTTGGGTGTTCTCCTGGGTGCCCATAGCGTCGTCCCGTTCCGCATCGGCCGTCCATTCTTCCTCGGACTGCGCCTCGGAGCAATCTTCGGACTCTTCAAAGTGCAGATCGGCGATCCCCTTGGCGTCCCCGCTGCCGTTCCCAGTTACAGCCGCCTCCTCGTCGACCTCCATGATAACGCCCATGTCGTCGCTATCCGTCCGGTCAGTCGTCGCGTCGTCGACGGGATTGCCCAGCGTTGGGTAGAGAGTGTTCCTCAATTCGTCCACGGCGCATTGCGCCTCCTTGTAGTTCTGGAACAGTTGCATCTTGGGTCGCAGCATCGTCAGGGTATCGCGGTACATGTAGTCTATCCCGACGGGGAACGGGTTCTCGATCGTCCAGACGGGGTCTGTGTACTTGAACCAGTAATAATTCTGGAAGAACACCAGGAAGTAGTCGAGCTTCTTCTTGCTGGAGCCGCCGCTGAAATATTGGCCGCAAGTCTCCAGCAAGGTGCACACTAGCCGAATGCGGAAGAGGTGTTCCGGTGGGTCGAGCATGCTCTGCACCGAGTGATCCATGCTGACGCCGAACGTGATGAGCAAGTACAAGGTGCGGAAAATGTCGCCGCTCTCCACCATCCGATAGTTGTATAATTCGCCCAGATACTTCACCATGGCGATGCGTCGTTGGTTGAACTTGGGCAGGTTCACCTCCATGCACAGACGGATGTCCTCGAGCACCCCGTCAACCACGTGAGGCCCTATCGTCTCGTAATGACCAACCAGGCCGGCCAATAGACTTCCTACGCAGCGGATGTTGAGATACTTGACGTTGTAAGCGGCAGTGAGACACTTGATAGCATAGGATGACACGCTCTCGTCTTCCCAATCGAGTTTACGCATCCATCTGAGTACCTTGTCGGTGTTGGTCTTGGAGAGGTCCTGATACAGCAGCTTCCTTATGAACTCATGTATAGGAGGTCTGTCTTTCTTTGAGACGCCGCCGGTGGATTCGGGCGGGTTCACGAAATAGTACGCGTTCTCTATGATCGTGACGTAGCGAGAGTCAAGAGCGGTGACCGCCTTCTTGCGCATCATTTGCTCCAGGTAGACCTTGGTCCTCTGGTGTGAGTCCGGCGAGCAGAAGAGATACCTGCCGCAGATCTCGAGCAAATTGCATGCCATCTCTATGTGGTGGTGTGTGAAGTCGTGCAACAGCACTTTCAGACAGTAGAGCGCCTCTATCTTCGAGTAGAGCTTGAACTTTACGAGCTCGCCAATGTAACGGACCACTTTGATCTTCGACTCGATGTTAATCTGATCCTTCTTGCGCACGTGATACTTGAAGTCCTGTTTCAGCATTTGACACAGGTCGTTCCCGACGTCGGGCATCACCGAGTAAAGAATAGCAGCTAAGCGGGAATAGAAAGGTAGGAGGTCCAGACGAATCCTGGAAACACCAAAGAGAGCCTTCACCAGCTTCTTTTTGTTGTGCTTCGTGTTCAGATTCATTAGGAAATGCACCGCAGCGTTGTCAATCATTTCGCGATTCACACAGTTCGGTAGATGTGTCAAGAAAGCATCCAACATTATCTTGTTGCTGATATTTGACACCTGCGGTTCCTCCACCTCTGCCTCCGCTTCTTCCACTTTCTCAGCTTCTTCCAACTCGTCGAACACTATTTCGTCGTCCAAAGCATCCTCCGTGATCGGTGCGTCCGCTTTTGGAGACTCCTTCAGATATGAACCAGGCAAGAATACCGTCAGATCCGGCAAAACTTCGTAGAAGCGTCTCGTCTCTTCGTCTCCCCACATATCCTCCAACACGTTACTGTCCTCTCCCTCGCTGATCATCTTCAGAGTTTCTTCCGCCTCTGCTTTCATCTCGCTGTCCACCGGCAGTTCAGGCATCGGCTCGTCCAGAGTATCTGAGAAGCTTTGCACACTGCTTAGTAAACGTTCATAAGATACCTGCAAAGCTTCCAACTTCTCTTTCCTTTCCGAGCTCAATTCACCTCTAGTCTGCAGAATCTTGCGATTTTGCTTCTCGAACGCTTGTAGATCCTTGTGCTCCTTCAACAAGTGCTTGCACAAAGAGTTATAATAGTCCCGCAACAATAGTCTGACGTTCTGCTGCTTGTCGGGCGACAACAGTTTGCTCTTAGGAATTGCAACAGTTAACTTCTCAGACAATTCCCGTACTTTCTTAGGTACCAAACCGGCATAATCCTCGCCACAGTGTCGGCAGAAGCTCAATATTATGCTGGCGTTGTTGTGCTCCTCCTTGTCCATGTTGATCAAGACTGTCAACACAGAGCCTAGCAGTGGCAAGCCTTGCTTGTGTGTAAAGATTCCTGCATTTACTAGTTCCGCATAGAATCGAAGGTCTACTCTCAGCTTGCTAGGATTCGCGATCTTGTCGCCAATTTTCAATGACAATATCCTTTGCCAATTCTCAAAGAAATGAGTGGAGAACTCGGCGTATGTCTGATGCAGAAAGCTACACACTCTGATGGCAGGTGCAACGTCAGTCATCTTTATTTTAGCATCTACCAGAGCTGTAGCGACTTCGCTCACATATTTAGTCAGGTTTAAATTTGCCATATCTTTTAGGACTGTGTCAAGTTGTGTCACACTGAAATTTTTTAATTTCTTCACAAATGTAGTGTTCCTCTTGAGACTGGAGTCAAGTTTACTGAATGATGCATCAGATGGTCTTGTGGGGTTTAAATTAGCTGCACGAATATCCTCCTTTGTCGCCAGTCTCTGCTCTGTCTCCCGCACATATTCTAATAAATATTGTTTGTCCTCTTCGGAGATAGCATTTGGATCCTCAGGGATCACTTCCTTATCTGTTGTTGCTTCGTTATGCTCAGACATTGTGCAATATTCTGTAATAGAAAAATTACAACTTTTCCTCCTAAAAGGCAAACGAATAAAAATACAAAACATACTTGTTTTATTATAACAAAACTATGTTTCTCAGACAGGAAGTATATTAACCTTTTACACTCAGATATCCTCTTTGAGGGGACATACTTTATTAGTGATTATACAGGATAAACTTATGCGAGTGCAAATTTTTCAATAATGCATGTTTTCTTGAAGTGAATTTTTCAAAAATGAAGTTTTCATTTAAATATCATGAAAAATCAAATAAAAATATACTGTATATATATACGGTATATATACTGAGATATATGTAAAAAATATCAGCTGATGTTAGAAAGAAAGAGAACAGACTTAACAATAAATCACATATTCTCAATGTGGGAGGAAGAAAACAGGACTGCACAGTCTGCTCAGGTAGAAAAAACACCAGATAAAAGATGCCAAACAAATTATTATTGTACAACATGTATCAACAAACCTGCAATATATATCGGTGACTGTCTCACACGTTACCACATATTAGAAAAATATAAGATATAAAATTTTGACTTTTTGTCATAAATATGTTCCTCAATGTCTAAAGATTCATACAAACCAAATATCATTACAATTATTTGGTTTCAAAACTACACTATTTAATATAATGTGATTCCTGTTTGCACATTTACCTAAAAAGTTGCCGCCAATCTGCTGGTAGGCAACCCGCGAGATGGCTCCGAGTGCAAAGGGTTAAAGTATATTAAAATATGCCAATTTATCAAGATATTATTTAAATGATAAAATCCATGTTGTATCATGTGACTGACTTTATATTATTTCGAGCGAGAGTAGATTATTACTTATATATTATATAATATACATACCGTAAAAATGCTATAATTACGTACCTTACTTAAGGGAAATCGTTTAAGAAGTTATATCTTCTCCAATTGTTTACGCATATTTTAGAACTTAATAAGGTTATGTTGTGGCAGACGACGGCTTATTTCATGGGTGGCGATTCAATTCAATTCAATAGATGGCTCTGAGCAAATTGGGTACTGCTCCAACGCCACTCTCATGGATGGCGATTAGTCTGAGAGATAAGCTTGAAAACGGCCATGCCGACGTTCTTGGCCGATTTTCAGCATTGTTTGTTGCGCCATCTGCATCCATTTTTTTAGCTGGAACTGCGTCCTCTACATCCATTTTCAAACGCTACTGGAGACTTTACCGTTTGAAAATACGTGGCAAACGTAATTCTGGTTCAAAAATGATGTATCGAACTACTGAAAATCGTACACGCGTAATTCCGGGAATATCTTAAGCGTGGTGTACAATGGCAGTAAGCAGTAAGAAGTACGCGTAAGCGGTAAGAAATAAACCAATCACAGTCGATTATGACAAAAATAATCAACTGTGGTTGGTCCATTTCTTAAGGCCATTGCACGTAAAAAAATTTTAGTCGTAACCGTAAGACCGTAAGCAAATTGACCAATCACAATCCAGCATTTCGAAATATACGAATTGTGATTGGTCAATTTGCTTACGGACTTACGGTTACGACTAAAACTTTTGTACGTGCAATGGCCTTTACTGTTCATGCTTTCTTCTTACTGCTTGCGGCCATTGTAGACCACGCTTTAAGTTATCGACAAGTGTTTGCACATCAACGTTGTGTCTTTAATGTTATTTATGTTTATGTATTTAATGTTTAATGTGCGAGCAGACCCGCAGTAGCAGAAGTAACACGACTACAGATGGCGCTCGTAGTCACAAATCAGGGAAATTCGTTAAAGAAGACCGCTATTTCTTTCCGATGGATGAGCAAACGGATGAGGCAGATATATATCTTGAGGTGCGCAATTCTTTTTCATATTTTCACTTACCAATTGCAATTGTAACGATTAATTCGCCTCGCTAGAGTAACGAGAACTTTGCGCGTGTTCTTGCTTTACGCGTTGGGTTTTCCGTACAGTCGCAAATCGCTCTTGTCGCAAATTTGATGATTGCTTGGTTAACCGGATAATGTTCTTTTTTTCCTCGCGATAAAGAGGCTATGCTAGGCTACTCTAGATTACGTTAAGCATACTTGCGCGAGAATAGAATCAGTTTTTTCGCCAAATTGTCTCCAAAGAAAACTTGATCATTTTCCCAGTGTAACGCTGCGTTTATGGAAGGATGTCGCAAGCGACAAGGATGGCCCGATCTTTCGGACGTTGTTCGGCCGCACATCAGTCGGTGAGTGATCCTTGCCGGATGTGTTTCTTTAATTCACCTAAATGAAGTTGTTCATAAGGTCTAAGTACAACGAAGTGCATAGCTTCATGCAAATAATAACGCGAGAGTTATGATACGCTGTTATTGGTTACTGTCGCAAATGAGACGCGCAAGAAAATATGTAACGTATCTTACGTTGAACGTTATACGACCTTCCTCGTGATTATCCAGGAGACAAGGATAGAATGAAAGAATACGAACACATACGTGGCCGCAGAGGCCTGATATACACGGTGTCTCCGGTCGAACGCATTTCCTATGGCACGCGTGTTATCCTTGCAGATAGACCGAGAAATTTGCAAAACAACGATAGCGTACATTGTATATATACGAAGTATCGAGATTCGAATACAGATATTAGTTCAACAGGATCCGAAGCTCCGGAGAATCCGAAATTAAAATGCGAGGTAACGCGGTCCGTCGGTGCGACAAAGCGACGTAAAATGACTATGCATTCTCCCCCGCGGCAGGCGTTCATTGGCAATCGGAAATGTCGGCGGTGGGTCGGAGACACCCGGTATAATCGCGCCGCCACAAAGAATCCATAAAAGGTTAGACCGGCGGTTTTTCGTGCGGCACCGAAGTAGAGACACTTTAAACTGCGACACACTTGTGTCCCCGCGAGCATAATAACGCGCCGCTATTAACCGCGAGCTTGTATTAAGCACTCGAAAAAAAGCTTTCATGCACTTAACGACGAAATAATGCGGCTAGCGCGCTACCGCCGGTGAAACTGCTCGTAGTAACTTCTTTTTTTTTTAAGTCTACGCTGTGACTCGAGGAGGCGCGCGTCTAAGAGGCATCGCCGCGACTACCGCAATCGTCGCCCCAAGTCGAATGCGTCGATTTCCGCCGGCGATTTTTTGGTCAATAATTTTGCGTCGAATTTCTTTAACGCGACAGCGAATGAAACGAATGACCGGCGTGTTTTGGCCGAAGGAAACGGAATTCCTGGTTCTTGCGAGCGAAATTCGGCTTCGGGGTGAGAATCGGAAATTCAGTTTCCTTTGATCAAAACGCATTTGGTTCGTTCACGTTACTACGTTAGCCAATCCTCTCTCTAAATGGGACTATTTTAGGCTCTTATGATACATAGCTACAAATTAATCAAAGAACCTCTAAGGATATGATAGCGAGTTTCTTACAGTAACGTCGACGATGTATCACCCTAAGACATTCTCTTAGTCTTGAAGACACACTAAACTCATTTCTCTATTCGTCATTCTATACACATGAAGAAACAACTTTCTTTGGTATAAGTGAACTTTTTATTTATTATTAATTTAGACTGATCTGGGGACCAGTCGAGAAAAACAATTGTAGGAACAGAAAGATTCCTATGCGTGGGAGGTTTTTGCTCAGTTTGTTCTCAGCTACGTCAACCGAGTTCTGATGCGACTGAGTGTTCAGACAAATGTTTTCGGTCGCGAGATAACAGAGACATTATTTCGCATCACCGAGTTCTCGTCTGGCTTCTCATTCAGTTACATGAACTGAGACATTTTTTCCTTGTAAAATATTGGCATTGTATTAAATTGCGATAGGGAAGAGGGAATTTTAAATATATGAATTGAATATAGGAAAGGGAAGAAGGAGGGTGTACAATGTACATTCGCCTTGTGTACATTCAACGCAAAAAATATCTCGGTGCGTGCGACATTATCGGCGATATTATTATCCTGTCGCAAGAAATTATTCGCTACCAATATTTTTGCGCAGCTCTCCCAAGTTCTTTCATTAAGTTATGAGAGATGTCAACTTCATAATTTTTATCTTTCCTTATCATATGCTTCAACTTAGTTTTGCACTCATAATTCTACACACAACCAGAGTAGTGAAACTACTCTAGTGAACTATGTAGAAAACGAGTCAGTATTCTACAAGTAGAATTTCCAAGTACGGCATCCCTTTGGGAAGCATTAATTGTTTTGTCTCGCGCAGCGATCGACGCGTTGTCAAGCGGCTTTGCTCCCTCGAGAGACGTTATGATTTTTATGAATTGCAAGATCAATCAGAAGAAAATATATGCACGACTTGTTTCTCCACCGATCTGAACACCCGAATCCCTGTAAGCGAACTCGGCATTTCTATGTACTTCAGTACGAAGTAAACAAAAGAAAAGTAATTTTAGAACAAGCGGAATCATCGAAATTTCAGAGGATTTTATTCTTATATATGGCCTCAAGAGGATTCCTTTAAAATTAAGAAGAAAATATTATAAACACATTATTTTTAAAGTTAGAGGGATTATATGTTATATATATATATATATATATATACATATATATATATATATATATATATATATATATATATATATATAATAATATATATATATATATATATATATACATATATATATATATATATATATTGCAAATCTGATTGATTTTAATATAAATTTCCTTTTATACATAAATTATTTAACCTCTTTTTAAGAGGATTATTAATCGTTTTTACTGTACTTTATTCTTACTGGTTATACTAGTTATTTTGAAGAAATTATAATGTATAGTGAAAAGTAATATATATAAATATATAGATATATATAATATATAATATATATAATATATAATATATAATATATAATATATAATATATAATATATAATATATAATATATAATATATAATATATATAATATATAGATGTATTTCTGGCTCCAGTTCTACAATAAGTAGGTACGAATGAAACAAGATCATCATAACAAGCAAATTTCCAATCAGTTTTGTTATAGATTTCATAGCTACAAAGATGTTCATCATAACCAATTGTATGAAACATAATTAAAAGAAAGAATATATTATGCAACTTCTTACAATAGATTATAAACTATATTTGACTAAATATAGGTAAATTATCTTTGTTATATGTTACAACAACAAACATACCTTTTTCAAAAAGCGTTCCAAATATTCTGGCCCATGAGCATATGGCTTTTTTTTCATTCATGTCTGGAGGTAGAGCATGACTGAACAAAAGAAGCCGATATTCAAATCAACATATTCCTCTTTATATAAGAGAAAAATTAATTGATTTAAGAGGAAATCCTCTTGAAATAAGAGGAAAGCAGTTAGAAAAATATCTAATAAATTTTAGATGAAATGATTCACTTTAATCATTTTATCGAAAGAGGAATCTTTTTTCTGTCTGTAAATGGCCTCGCTTAGAATATATGAGACTAGGAAAAATCACTTTATAAGTAGAATAGTTTTTTTGGATATATTTCTGCATATTCCGTAATTAGTTTGTGTAACTTATTTAGTATCGTCATATTCCTATGACTTATATGTGATACGAATAACACAAATCTGTAACCACTTCTCCCCGTATACTAAAATTCAGCGAGATATATGTTCAACTCGGTGGAGAAAAGTCTGCGCAACAAAAGAGTCAAGGAGTATCAATTGTACCCCTCTGCGCAGCAGGCGCACGCGAAACGACTCTGCCCTCGCCATCGTGTGATTTTTATTAATCACGAGGAAATATACACGCTACTTGCGTTCCCCGCTTCCCCTCGCCGACGTCCGCAACGCCCGAGTCCTTGTACCGCGCGGTTGTTTATCGTGAAGAGGAGCCTGGTATGACGTTCACGCGCGTCGCTTAGCGTACGCGCGAGAAACGAAGAATTAAATAAACTTCATCCCCCAGTCGCGGCCCCCTCGCCCCGCGCGCTCGCGGGGTTGAAGATCGGCATGCTGGGTATGATGCTGCGCGACAAATGTCGCGTGAAATGCGATTTCAGGTCGCGACGACGGTGGTGGGCTTTCATT